CCCAGATAACCAAGAGTGCTAAAATCACATTTCGCTAAAACTTTGTGACAAAGTTTGTATCAATTTTAACAACAATATTCTAGCAAACATTTGTCTTGCTTCGTCATGTTTAAATATTTCAAGTAAATTTATGGCAAAACTTTTCGTCACATAATGCTACAAATAATAGAGAAAGGCTTGTCGTAAATTTTACGCATAGAAGAGAGCAAATAATGCTATCATGATGAAATACAAACTTTAGTCAATAAATAACAAATTTTAGTATACACGGTATGATGGCAATTTTACGACAAAAATGAAACAAATCTTGTCATGCATTATTTGCTCTCTTCTATGCGTAAAATTTACGACAAGCCTTTCTCTATTATTTGTCGCATTCTGTGACGAAGTTTTGTCATAATTTTATTTGAAATATTTAAACATGACGAAGCAAGACAAATGTTTGCTAGAATATTGTTGTTAAAATTGATACAAACTTAAGTCGTAAAACTTTTGCAAAACATGATTTAGCATTCTTGGTTATTTGCCTGAAAAATTAGAGCACAGTTGCTCTGGACGAAGAAACGCAATCTTTGTGCAAATAACTGAGCAAGCCTTGCCGTGCACGGTATTATAGCAAATTTGTGGCAAAAACAGGGCAAGGTTTGCACTAGCACGATGAGACCGATGAGACACAACATTTACGCAAATAACAGAACAAACCTTGCCGTGCATGGCGTAATCACGTGCAACGTGCGGCTGCGCACATTTAATGCGCGCTACTAAGCATGCGCGAGTCCTGTAACTTCCAGCACTGTTACCGTTACTGCGTTCTTCTGAATCCAACCACCGTGAGTGCTATAAGGTTATCACAGAGGACGATTCGGAAAGATTTTGAAGAGAAGAGATTTTTGAGGCGAGTATCCGAGTTCTTCTGGTGTGCAGAGGATTTCTTATTGAAGATTTCTGGACGATTTTTGAGGAGAGTATGAAAGTAGTTAAATATTCTGTTTCGCGTAAATGTTTTCACCGGTTATCTGCTAGGCAACGAAGACGAATTGCTTTAGAAATTAAAGATACTTTGCATTTCAATGTTGCACAAGATTCTGTTACGCCTGAACAGCCGGATAATGCTGCTTCTTCTATTCACGGTGATGATTCCTCTCAAACAGACAAAGTTTCTTTTACAGACGATGTTGCTAACTATATCTCTAATGTTACGTATACCGATAATCTCGATAATGATATATTGTCTATTAGTAATGATAATGACAGTGAATATTCCACTTCCTCATTTCTCAGTACTTCCAATGACGAAACATTTCAAGATCGTTTGGCTGCGTGTTTTGTTAATAATAATATTACACATGTGCAATGCAATAATATTTTATCTGTTCTTCGAACACACACATGCTTCTCTTCGTTACCAAAAGATGTTAGAACTCTTCTAAAAACTCCACGTACACCTGTTGTCGTATCCAAAGTAGATCCAGGAAAATATATTCATTTCTCTCTTGAAGCAGAAATTATTAAAACTTTATCATGTCTTCCTTCGGTATCTGTACCACGTAAATTAGAAATCGACTTTAATACAGATGGATGTAGTTTAGATAGAGTAGGAAGTAATCATATCTGGCCAATCCAATGTAGACTTGCAAATATTAAATATACAAGGCCAATAATAATTGGAATATATAGTGGTGCTGAGAAACCACATAATCCTAATTTATTTTTTGAAAAATTTGTTGCTGATGTTAACAATGTAATAAGCAACGGTGGTATAGATTTTGCTGGTAATAAGATACCAATACGTTTAAGATGTTTTATAGCCGATGCACCAGCTCGTGCTTTTGTCCTTAATCATAAAGGTCATACATCTGGAAATCCTTGTTCGAAGTGCAAAGTTTCTGGTTTACGATATGAAGACAGATATACATTTGGTGGTGTTAATCATCCTCTTCGAACAAATGAAGAATATCTAAGGTGTATAGATGAAGATCATCACAAAGATGGCAAAAGCCCATTGTCAATGTTACCCATAGGTATGGTTTCACAAGTTCCCTTCGAATATATGCATTTAGTATGCTTGGGCGTTATGAAGAAACTTTTATCCGCATGGATATGTGGTAAATATACACGTTTTTCAAAATTACCAGCAAGATCCATCGCTATAATATCTCAAAGATTAGATAATCTTAAAACATATTGTCCATCAGATTTTGCAAGACGTCCTAGAGCAATTAATGAGTTTTCTAAATACAAGGCAACAGAGTTTCGTCAATTTCTATTATATACAGGTCCAGTAGTAACATACGGTCTTCTGAATCACCAAGTATATACTCATTTTTTGTTTTTGCATACTGCCATAAGAATATTGATTTCTAATTCACCATCAAAAGTATATTTAAACTTTGCTGAACTTGCTCTACAAAAATTTGTCGCTCGATGTGAAAATCTTTATGGTTTATCATTTATTTCATATAATGTGCACGGTCTTCTTCATCTCACAAATGACGTGAGACAATTAGGTCCTCTTGATTCGTTTTCTGCTTTTCCTTATGAAAATAATATGCCAGTTTTCAGAAAATACTGTAGAAAACCTAATTTTCCTCTTCAACAGTTTTACAATAGAATGTCAGAAATGGAAACTTGTGGAACAAATTTGCATCGTGGTGAAACTTATTTTTCTAAACTCACTAATTCTTCTACGCAAGTATTTTCAGCGCATAATAAAGGTCCTCTTCCACCTAATATTAATCCAAACAGCTATCAGTATCGGAAATTAATATTCAACAAAATTTTGCTGAGTTTGGATATACGAGATAATTGTTGTATTTTACACGACGGATCAATTTGCCTCATTATTAATATCTTAGTGGACAATGCCACATATTATCTGGTTGTAAAAAAATTTCAAAAAGTAGATTCATTCTATGATGTTGGTATTTTGTCCTCAACAATTCAAATATTTAAATGTTCCGCAATAAGCAATGAAATTTTTTGTATTGAAGTGAATCAGGTACGTTTTAAATGTTATAAAATGCCTTATTGGAGTGATTCATCGATAGGTGATAGTAGTGACATAGGTGAGTTAGAAGTTAGCGAGTATGTAGTTAGTGCAATTGTACATACAGATGACCTGTAAAAAATTAAACTGCATATATTAGTTGTCCCTTGAGATACAATTTACAGAAAGGAAAACAGAATCTCCAGAATGACTAATAAAATACAGGTTAGTATAATGGTGTCATATATTTCTTTTACTCAGTTTAATTAGAACGGTAATAATAATTGATTCTTCAAATATTTTAGATGTTCT